AAATTTTGGAAAAGCCTCCCCTGGAAAAAAAAAGCGGAAAAAGGTACGCAAAATGCAAAGCACATTTTGCATACCTTTTTCTGAAAAAAAGGTATAGTCTAGATATACGCTAAGTATATGACAAGAACAGGTGGATACAACAAAGGAAGGACGTGTTAACTTTGAGTTGGAAATATTCATATCGTCTATGAATGACTATTTGCTGAGATTTTAATAAATGTTCATCTCACAGACTACCCGAGCCTCTTGCATAGACAGAAAGCAAAGCTTATCTTGAAGCAAAAGTCTGTTTATCTTGTTCTGTTCATCCTCAATAGATTTCTTGAGTAGGAATTTCTGCATGATCAACTTTAATTTCATCATATGAGTTAACTTGGAAAACTAATGTCACATGTGATGAGGACTGTGGCACAATAGCGTCCAAGGAGTCTTTAGTGTGAAATACACAAAGAGCAAGAAATGGGCGTACATGCAAAGGATTCATTTGCTAGACTAGCACGGTGTCCTTCATCTTGTTTATGGGTTGAAGAGCTGTGAACTGGAAACAGACAGCTGGGATGCAGAAATGATTGAGACCATTCTCATTGCATGTTTCTTTTATTTTCTCTATTTGTCTTGTGGGAAGTGTCAAGTAGGGAGACTTTGTTCCAATTGTAAGACTGCTCTTTGCTTTGTTGGCATTGCAGTGTATTATATTGTATCTTTTCGTGCTATTTGATTGCAAATCCTTTGGAACAGGGAGCCCAAAATTTGATTCAATTTATTTACTGTATTTATTAATAATCTTTGCATGTAAATAGCACTTGGCTTTCAGTCATCTTAGAGCTCCGTTCAAAAGTTAGGTGTCAGGACAGGTAACTTGTCCTGACACCTATGACTATCCCAACACCTAATTCAGATGTAAGCTTCTGTGCATGTCCAACATGAAATATGGCTCCAGGAACCAGAGCAGACTATACTTTTTCTCATAATATACCTGTCTCCTGAGGGCTCGACCAACTCTGACATTAAGTAGGCATTGTTGCCTTTCAACTGAGTAGTAGCAGAATTTGGTGTTGATTTTCCATTGCAGGAAAACTCAGTGACCTGAAATCTGGGTATTCTCTTAAGGACATTTGTTTCTGTTTACACTCTACATACCAGGCTTAAACAGAGGTATATTGTGGCAAAAGCTAGTCAGTCTGGAATTCATGAGGCTGGGGTAGAGGGGCAGTTAACCGTTTTTGTTGTTGTTCTGCTTATTGATGGGTTTTGTTTCTCTGGATTTCTCTTGAGGTCAGTGTGGCTGGAATAATGCTGTGAACTATTCCAAATGTACTATAGGGAGGGAGAATTCCAGTATAAAAGGTGTACAGCTTAAATAAGCGACACATGATTCTGTGGAATAGACATGTTTCATAGATAATATTATAAATAAAACAATTCTGTTTCCTCTGCTGAATGGCAGTGGAGTAGCGAGGGCGGGAAGAGGAGGGCAGTTGCCCCCGGGCACCACACTAGAGGGATGCCAATTTAGCAGTGGAGGGAAGGATGGTGCTCGGAGTCCTATGACCCCGCAGGTGCCAGCCAGACAGCAGAGGGAAGGTCGATGCTAGGGCCCCGCAGGTGCCAGCCGCTTCCGCACCTGTAGGAAATTGAAACTGAGTGTGAAGCACCCAGTGAGGGCAGCGCACAGGGCAAGGGGTCAGGCTGAGCATGCGCAGAACGCAGCTGGAACACAGGCCCCATCTGTGACTACAACCCTCACAATCCCCTTTGCCACCAGTTGGTCTGAGGCACTGCCCATTGGGCTGCAGCATCCGGGTCCTCGCCTGTAGCCCGCCCCGCCGAGAAACTGCAGCCGTGGATTGGCCAGATGGTGCATCAGTCTGGCTGGAAGCGGAATGGCTCCATGCGCTGGAGGGAGCCCCACATGGCAGCGGGACAGGCCGGGAGGGATCTGGCTGAGGGGTGCAAATTTTGCCTTTGCCTCCAGGCGCATAACACCCTTGCTACACCTCTGCTGAATGGTATGACTCTTACATCCCAACAAAACCAGGAACTGCTGCTTGAAACAGACCCACCATGTTGCTTCACGTGGGGAAGAGTCAGCTTTTCACCTTCCCATTACTATAGCCTAACAGGGTAATTTGAAGGCCTTTGTGCTCTTGTCTAGTGTCTCGGGAAATAAGGAAGACCCATTTGGATTGTAAGTTGTCTTTTGCTTGTATTGAGAGCAAAAGGATCATGGCAGACACAGAGAATTGACCATGAGGGGCTCTGGGTGAAATTCAGGTCCAGTTAAAGTTGACAGGAGTTTCCCCATTGATGTGAATTGGACAAAATTGTCGTTCCATAGGTACATCCATGTTGCAACTGAAGTATGTCACAGGCCCTCTCCTGACAGGTGGAATAGAAGCAGCTTGGTTTATCCCTTTGGGTCAGGCATATTATTCTACAGATATTCAGCAAGTTTATACTTCATATATATAGTAGCCCTATGTCTGTGTGTCTTTAACGCTGACGTACACATGGCCCCCTGGCCGTGTATGTCACCGCCCCGCCCCCCTTCCCCTTCTGCCGTGGCGCACTGCCACGACATACATGGCCAGGGGGAGTGGACGTGTACGTCACCACCCCTCCTTTCCCTCCCGCCGTGGTGCTGAGTGCTGCGCCCCTCAGCTGGGCCCCAGAAGGGAAGGGGGGGTGACGTACATGGCCCCACACCCACATGGCCCCCTGGCCGTGTATGTCACCGCCCCGCCCCCCTTCCCCTTCTGCCGTGGCGCACTGCCACGACATACATGGCCAGGGGGAGTGGACGTGTACGTCACCACCCCTCCTTTCCCTCCCGCCGTGGTGCTGAGTGCTGCGCCCCTCAGCTGGGCCCCAGAAGGGAAGGGGGGGTGACGTACATGGCCCCACACCCGACTGTGTATGTCGGCGCCCCGCCCCCCTTTCCCTCCCAGTCCGGCAGAGCAGGCAGCACTCAGCCAAGCACCATGGCGAAGGGGAAGGGGATGTGGAAGGGGAAGGGAGACAGGGAGAGACGGAGGGGAGAGAGAGGCAGGAGGAGGAGGAGAAGAAAAAGGGAGGGTGAGAGGCAGGACAGGGAGAAGAGAAAGAAAGAGACGGAGAGAGAGGCCAAAGGCGGAGGAGAACTGAGAGGGGGCGGGAGGCAGTAAGAGGAGAGAGAGACGGAGCGAGAGAGCTCAGGAGAGAAGACCTGAAAATCCTGTCTTACGATGGGCTAATTGGCTAGTCTGGTAATATTTGAGTAACTAAGACATGAGGGCAAGCCAAAGAAAGCCAGAAAAGTAGAGATCCTAACAGTGAAGAGAGCCTGAGACAAAAAATGGACAGTACTAGACATCACAGTAAGCCTATCAGACAATAATTCAGTTTCTGATTCCCTTCCAGGCTGGAGCCATCTGTTGCATACCTGTGGGATATCTCATCCTGCATGGAAATCTACAGGAGGAGTTTGTATCTGATTGACCTGACAAATGTACCCAGCTTTTGAAAGGTTTTCAGCACAATGATTGTTGCATACTATGCTGGGTGGATTGCAATCTAGATAGGGTTAGCAAGGAGATGCATTTGGTTTGGAACTACCTTATTTTTCTTAGACTAAGCCAGTGATTCCTAAACTTTTTGAGCAACTGCATAAATTTTAAGGTACAGACTTGAAACTCAAATGCATGCCTTTCTTTACACATGCAAATACCCAAGTTTGGATATCCTTTCTTTGCATGGAGGCAGGTGATTTGCATACCTGAATCAAGGAAAGGCAATTATGAACACCTATGTTTAAAAATATGTACCTAGCAGATTCAGCTGTATCAGCACTTTCCCATTTCATTGGATGAGTTCTAAAACTTGCCAGGCAGGCAGTTGACACAGTCACAAGGGCAGTCTGAGTTCCTTCCCAAATGCAAGAATTTTTATAACCTTTCTACTGGGTTTATAAAATAAATGACAAACTTGAGTACATGGTGCACATAGCTATATTTAATTGCAGATTCTATGGACATCTCTGGTTCACGTCATAATTCGGCAAAAGAAATGTGTTGCTGTTATTGATTGCTAACTTAATTATGAGCTACTTCCCTCACTGAAATGACACTTATGTCTATGAAATTCAGGATGCTGTAGTTTAAAGTCGAGAAATAGAGGTGATGTGCTCTGCAGGATGGGAGTGACCATTTGGAGACCATTCCCCAATCCCATAGTCTAGCACTCACGTTCTCTGCAAGGAGAAAGTCTCCACCTTCTAGTATGGAAGTGAAGGACTGGGGAGGAGGAGATGGAGAATCCAAAAAGCCCACAGACAAGATCAAGATGCCTTGATTTAAATGTTTTTTAACATTCTCATAGAGTTGAAGAAATTATATTTAGCTTTAGCATGAAGTCTTCTATTTAATATTTTTTTAAATTCAGTTTGACCTCAAATTGGCAGAAGGGAAACTTCATTATGTGCTTGTTTTACATTCAGGATATCATTTCTGCAGATAAATATGGAAAGTAGTTCCTATTACTCATACAGTGTTTCACACATCTGTTTTATGTTTCACTAAGGCACAACAAAGTGAAACCATCATCTATCCTGCTTCTCTCCATTAATTCAACATGTAAAAAAAAGGGATGATTGTCTTCCATCTCACAGATCACTGTCAGGGAAATCGGTTCCTTGGTTTATAGTTCATGCAAACAATGCCAAAAACACAAATAATAGAACTTGAAAATGGCAATCCAATGCACAATGTAATTTAAGAGCAAATATCACTATTTAATGCACAGAGGAGCAGTTCAGAGCACATTATGCACTAACTTAACCTAATCCTTGCTGCAAAAAATCACTGTGGTGAGCCAACTGGGATAGGAAAGTGTAATGGGAGTGAGAAACTGCCAAGATGACATTCATTCATAAAATCGTGAGGCTGCATGAGTGGCTTTCACCCTCCAGAGCTACTGTACTAAAGCACATGTTATAAAACAGATTGCAAAGTTTATTTTTTTTAAAAGGAAAAGTTATCTACAACAGTGACAAGCTGGCCTCACAAGAGACTGGGAGGCAGGAGTTCAAGTAGTCTTTGCTTCCCAAGTCTGCCATGGCCATCCTGTATGGAAGCACAAGGTAAGAAGTCCTGACAGTTAGAATGGAGTTAACAGTACTTTGTCTTTAGTTACATTGTAAACTCTTCTGGTCTGATAGTGTCTCTTACTATGTAATTGTAAGCTTCTTCGCGTGAGCCCCCTACCATAACACAGAGAACTTTAGGATCTCCTCTGTTTCAGTACATTATTCTTCTTAATTATAATCACGTTATGCAATCAAAAGTAAAATTTCAATGGCTTGTCCAACTGTATTAACGGAGTGTAGTGAAATCTCCTACACAAAAATGTTGTATTACTTCAACTGTAATGAAATTTATATCCCCTTAGTGAGATTTATCCAAATTCCTTACATGTCCCCTGATGTCTGAACTCTATTAACAGAGCATACCAGTTCCTGCTTTGGGAAACATTAATTTTTATCCTAACACAAAGCACACAAAATATAGCAAACTCTGTAATTATAACTTGATGAGAACCCCAGACAAAAAGCACACTTGGTGCATTCCACATATGGATCATAACTGGATTTAGACAGCAGATCAGCTTGCAATCAGGTCTAAGGATGTTGCATGTCACTTGGATGGACTAAATAGAGATGGCTTGATGCAAGGGTGAAATTTAGAAAGGGAAGAATATATATCCTGGTGGCATTTCCATAACTAGATAATCCCATGACCATTTCCTTATCTCTTTTTAATGGGTGAGTCATAAAAGTTGCAGTTGTTCTATTCAGTTGTAGGAAAAGTATAACTTATTTAATTTTCAAAAAAATTTCTGGCTTCAGAAAAGTCTCAGTAAAATTAGACTACCTCCCTTTGTCATAAGAATATTTTATTTTATTTTAATTTTATATCATTCCCTTTCCTGGTAATATTGAAAAATGAGTTGCTTACAGTGCTTGTAGATCATTTTTATTTGACATACAGAAACACTGAGGCATAGAGATTAAGTGATGTGATGTATCAGTGGCAGAGTAAGGATAACACTTAAAAATCATCATACTCAACCCTCTGCTCTTTGAAGTCAATCTCAGGGTTTTTTGTTTTGTTGTAGTTGTTGTTTTGTTTTTAAAAAGTAACAGTACAAGTTGCCTCAGAAATGTTGAGGTGGGTAAAACTTCTATAAAGTCTCAAAGGTTTTAGTTTTGTTTTCTGAAAAATCATTTTTAAAATAGCCACTTTTTCTGCCCCCAGTTTTCTGCACTTTAGGCTGAACTGAGGTGTTTCATCTTAAAATAATAATTTGCTGCTGAGCTCAGGTCCTGGGCCCCCCAAGTTTCAGCTGTGAGCTAATGTTTGCAGCCAAGTTATAAAGCTCTGAAAATAAAAGGCTTGAGTGGAAAGGAAGATTGTATTGACTATAACAGAACTCATCTTTCCTGATCACCCTTTTGAAGCCATGATTGTATAAGTTAGCAGCACTCTTGCCAAGTGCAATATTTCTTCAGTTGTTCTACCTGACCAGAATCATGAAGTCTTTTAAGAGTACACTGAGCATTATTGACTCTTCCATCTGCTCCTCTACACAATGGACCCTACTTCTCTTCGGAAGGAGCTACTGTTGTGCAGATGGTACACATCTGCAAAGGAATTACATCATATGACATCATCTGGTATTGCACATGTTATTACTACCGGCAGTGAGCTATCTGTTGCTTAACAACCTCATTAAGGTGAAAATCACTCCGTGCAGACAGCCAGAGCAAGTCCAATGCACCACTTAAGCCATATTTTGAGTTGCACCTTCTGCCCCCTGATGATTATTAAAAAGAGTCTACTGTTTCTAGAAAGGCAGTAGATGTCTGCTACCTGTCTCTAGATTTTTAATGTAGCTAACAGTCATATTTAGTTGCCTTTTAGGCTAACAGAGTGTTTCAAGTATGTTAAAACCCGTGTAGCGTTAGACAGCTGCCCTTTTTAATTCCACAAATGGCTGCACTTCTTCAGCTGGTACTGTGATCCCTGTCTATAGTTTCTGATAGCAAAATGTTTAGGTACTAGGCCAGAGCTAGGTAGTAATAATACAGATTCAGAGGAACAGTAAAGGTTTCTCTAGAGAAGCGGAAGACCCTCTCCCTGGAAGGATGGAGGGGATTTTGAGAGTGAAGCCTCTTAGTGCTAAGTCATGTAAGGAAAAATCCCCACTAATCAGGGGTCCTTTGAGGTTACGTTGTAGAGAGGAAGCTAGTAAGGTGGAACTCCTCCAAAGACATAAATAGTCTCTAAATGACACACTCCTGTAGCAATGTGAATATTAGCTGCAAGGCGGATATGTCTTTTTAATGTGATGCTCAGAAGTCCCTTCCCACCAGCACATTTCCATAATTCTTATTATTCATCAGTGCTTTTATTTTCCTCATCTAATAAACGCCTTGGTCCTTGTTCTTTATTTATTAGTTTGCCCCCACTACCACTGTCCACATTGTTCTCTTGTTTGGATTGTTATGCTTACATGCTTGTGTTTTGTGTACCTTCCTTTCCCCCCCACACCTCCCCATAAATGTGCAGGCTGACCTTTGCCATGGTAGACTGTAGGATATGGAGAACTCTTACCTTAACTATCGCCCAATTGCCAATATTCCCTTCTTGGGCAAGGTACTCGAGTGGGCAGTGTCATTGAAACTCCAAGCTTTCTTGCAAGAAACAGATTATTTAGATCCATTTCAGTCTGGCTTTAGGCCGGGTTTGGAACTGAAACCACCTTGGTCGCCCTGGTAGACAACCTATGCTGGGAGATACAGGGGGAGCATGTCCTTGTTGATTCTCTTGGCTGCCTCTCAGAGGCTTTTGACACCATCGACCATGGTATCTGTGACGGGGCGAACAGGCCCCGCACTGCAGGGCTGGGAGTAGCCCAGGCCCAGCTGGCTGAGAGGGCCCCGCCCTTCCGGCCCTGCTGGGCATGCTCCCAGCAGAGGCCAGGTATAAAGGCAGAGGGAGCCCAGCAGGCAGGAGGACAGCTGGGGGAGGGAGGAGATCAAGCCAGGCCAGTGTTTTTGCAGCTGCTGGGACCAGAGCCACTGCTGGATCCTGACACCAAGGAAGCAGACCCCGACTCCAGGAGACCGGAACGTACCCACAGCCCCAGCAGGTACTGCCTCTGAGGCCAATGGGCTCCCGGGGTGCGGTAGGAAGCAGCCCAGGGCAAGGAAGACAAAGTTTGGCTCGGCGTGTATCGGCCGGATTCCCCGCCCAGCCGGCAGGAGCCACAGACCCTGCCTCAAGGGCCCTGGGCTGGGACCCGGTGGAGAGGGAGGGCCCGGGTCCCCCTACCATGCAGGCCCCCCCGGATAACCAGGCCTGGGGCCGGGAGAGGCTCCCCAGAGGCACTAGGCCTTTGATACCGTATATCCCCTGATAGAGGGGCCGGAACTTCTGGGGACTTTGGGGTGCGGTACGGGCCCGGACTGAGATGCGGGTCAGTATAAGGGGGTCAGCAGCCCCTGTCAGGGGTGTGCCCCCTGACAGTATCCTTCTGGAATGCCTGGCGGACTTGGGTATTGGAGGGATTTTTCTGCAGTGGTTCCGGTCTTACCTGTTGTGATGCTTTCAGAAGATGGAGCTAGTGGGCTGCTATTTGACCCTGTGGCAATTGTGCTACATGGTCCCACAAGGTTCCATCTTGTCCCCTATGCTGTTTAACATCTACATGAAGCTGCTGGGAGAGGTCATAAGGAGTCTTGGAGGATGGTGCTATCAATATGCAGATGTCACCCAACTTTATTTCTCTGTGACATCAGAACCAGGTGTGGCAGTGACTGCTCTAATCTGGTGTCTGGAGGCGGGGATGGACGGGATGAAGTCAAACAAGCTGAAGCTGAATCCAGATAAGACTGAGGTCCTATGGATCAAGAGGCCATCTGTTCGGTATTGAGGCATGGTACCTGTTCTAGATGGTACCACGCCCTGAAAGAACAGGTACGCAGCTTGGGAGACCTCCTGGACCCTTTTTTAACATTTGATAATCAGATTTCTTCAGTTGCCAGGCATACTTTTGGGCAGCTTCATCTAATCCGCCAGCTGCGACCCTTCCTGAACAAGCATGACTTGGCCACAGTGATCCATGCTCTTGTTATATCCCAACGGAATTACTGTAATGTGCTTTATGTGGGGCTGCCTCTAAAGAGCCTTTGGAAACTTCAACTGGTCCAGAATGTGGCTGCTTGAGTTTTAACTAATATTCGTTATATGGAGCACATTAAGCCAGCTGCACAGGCTTCTGGTATGTTTCCAGGCACAATTTAAGGTCTTGGTTATGACCGATAAAGCCCTAAATGGGTTGAGTCCGGGGTATCTGAAGGACCGTCTTCTCCTATATGAACCTGTCTGGGGATTGAGGTCAGCAGGGGAGGCTCTGCTCCATGTTCCCCCCCACTTATGGAGACAAGATTAACATCTACATGGAGCAGGGCCTTCTCAGCTTTTACTCCCAGGCTGTGGAATTCTCTTCCTCGGGATTTTTGCATGGTGTCAACGTTAGCATTGTTTCAGCATCAGGCTAATGCCACCCTTTTTACTCCTGCTTTTATTGGTGTTTTAGTCTGTGTGTGTATGCATTCCTCCTCTCAAGATATTTTTAGCAGGTTTTGGGTCGCTCTGGGATCTTGTATTTTAATTTTTTATGTATATTTGTATTTTTAATAAATTTTGTAAGCCACCTTTGAATATTTTAAATAGAGAGGCAGGGTAAAAATATTTTAAATAAATAATCTATTAGGGGGGTTAGTAGTAATTGTGTGGGAGGGGAAGCCCTAATTGGGAAACTCATTAAATCGGTTGGAAAGGTCACCTGCCTTGTCTAAATCATCATAAACTCCTGAGCTGCCTTCCATGAATTTTATTTAGCAACAAAACAACACACAGTTCCTGGCCTTCAATGAATCAGAAAGCACCACTTCTTCATGCTGTTTCAGCCCCTGGCTGCATTTTCTCTTGTAAAAAAACTTACTTCAAAGTACCACACAAGATCCTTAAGTACCTCCCAAACCTTAGGTTTCCAGAGCATGTCAAGGAAAAATAAAATCCATTCTCATTTATACCTGCAGTACTTTGTCAAAGCTGCCACAAAACCAACTGGGCCAATTTCTCCCTCTAATAGCATCTACACTAAATAATTCTGTATTAAGAGGATTAAACAAATGGTTTCTGATAATTATAGTGTAGCCAAGCCAGCTGCCTTCTGTGCTCCTCTTGTGGCCTAGGGTCATGCTACAAGTATTCTGCCTCAGTTTCCCCTCTTGAACTGGTCAAATAAACTTCACTTCAAAATTTTTCTTACAGACTAGGTTTATAACTATATTAAAAACCAAAACAAAGTCTATTTATACATTCCAACATCCCAAGGTGTCCCTTTCTTCTCCCAGGTCTTTCTTCATGGGGTCTTTGCAGTCCCTTTGTTGTTTGGCTAGGATCCCACTCTGCCTCAAGCAACTCCACTGGACTCAGGATCTTCCCTGCAGGAGCCTTTCCTCACTCTTCCTGATATATTCAGGTACCCAATTCCTGTCAGGTTGAAGCTCATCCTGTAATTGAGCCAAACCTAAGCATAGGCTGTCTAGCCTTTAAGAAGGAGCCAACATGTTATATAAAGGAATGGATTTCTCTATTTTTGCACTCCACAGAGGAAGAGAACTGAAAGAGACAAAGCTAACTGCAATAGTAGAGGGATACAATTTAAGCCTCCTCCAGATCATCACAACTAGATAGAACAAGCCCTTTGGATTCTAAATGTGGGGTGGGGGTGGGGATGAGTTACTGCTACAGCCAAAACTTTTTTGTTTTCAAAGTAGCAACTATTTACAGCTTAGCTTTACTCCTCACAGAGCTACAGAAATCAAGTTACAAGAAGCTCTCGGATAAGTTTTTAGATTTCCTTTACACTGGAAAAATGTGACTGCCAGTGCAACAAGATTGAGTGCAATACCATCAGTAAGGGTAACATTTTCCAAATTAGACCTGAGTGCTTAGGTGGGTAGCATGTGAGAAGACAGCTTACGTGAACAAGCTAATGCTGGTACAGAAACAATCAACTACCTCAGGCACATTTTGGGGACATTTCCAGAGTAAGTTCTGGATGAGCTAGCATCTCAGAGAGCGGTATGACAAACATTTGTCACAACAGGTTTCCATGATCTTCGGCCTTTGCCCACTGATGGTCTAATAATGAGAGTTAGAGATTGGAAGCCAAAACTGAGGGTTTGTTCCCAGCTCTGCTACTCATTCAATATGTGACATTGGGCAAGTCACTTAACTTCTCTTTGCCTTTCTTCATCCCTGTGTAAAATAAATATCAGTAATCACTGTTTGGAAAGTGCTTAGAGGCCCTTGCAAGAAGTTGGTATATAAGTGCAAAGAATTGTTATTTGCTCTGAATCCTGACGAAATTAACTCATGATACAAAGTAGATGTAGAAAGCAGGAAAGAGCAGACTCAGGTAGCCCTTGTTAGAAATAGCAAAAAGCACCGAAGTTTCTTTTTAATAATAATAGTTACAAAATTAATCAAGTAGGAAGGTGCCAAATACCCTTTAACTTAGCACACATTTTTCCCTTAGCTCACTGAGGGTTCGTCTACATAGCGGTGCTATTTCGGGATAACGTCCTTTATCCCAAAATAGTGTTCTGCATGTCTTAACAGCATGCCCATTATTTCAAAATATATTTGAAACAACGGGCTTCTTTGTCGGGCTTCCTGTAAACCTTGTTACATGACGATCAAGGAAAACGCCGAAATAGTGATTTATTTTGTAATTAGCGCTTTGTAGACAGCGCCAAATTTCAAAATAAGCTATGCAATTTGTGTAGTTCAAATTGCGTAGCTTATTTCGAGGTATGTGCTACTATGTAGACATACCCTGAGAGAGGGAATGACAGCTCATCCTTAGTCTCATTTGGGAAGGAATTTTCTCAAATCTGACTGATTTAAAGGAAATTCTTGCTTAACTCTCGGGTTGTAATGCCTCAAATATTTCCAGTTTTATGTTGCCTCTTAGAAAAATGTTATTAACCTTTTAAAATTCCCATTAAGATATCCACAAGTAGAACCTTCCAATCGCTTGTTTAAGAACTACTTCCGCACAATGGTCTATTTATCTTAAGTGTAAGTGTAGCCTAGAATTCCATGCTGATAGGATTTCTCATAACTTTGATATGTATTTGAACACTCATGTCAAGCATATTGATATATTCTTAACAAAAGCAGGCTGGTGGATGGATTTGCAAGTTAAGAGAACCATTTCATACTCACTACCGAATGTTTAGCAATATTGAGGCTATTTTTATATAACTATCATGTGTAACGTTTAACCAGTTAACCAATTAATGGGTTCAGGGAGGGTGCTCCAGCCCAGCTGGGCTGGAGTGCTCCCCTGCCCACCACAGTCAGACTGCTCCCCTTTATTCCCCCCCCCCTCCCCAGATGAGGGCTGCTCCAGCCAGGCTGGAGAGCCCTTCGCCTTCAGTGGGCCCCATGGGGCTGGAGCAGTTCCCTGCCAGTGGTGGGTAGAAGTGTGCTCCAGCCCCCACCAGCTAACAGGTTAAACATTCACCTACCTAACATTGGCTGTGGTGGGCTTTCAAAAGCTGTCCCATAGTGCCCCACACACATAGCTGAATGAGTTCAAGCATTCCTTGTGAGGATGTGCACCACTGATAAACACAGTGCGGACATGCAAAAGCAATTCAATTACTGCCCTGGCTGGGCGTCACCATAATTTAGGTCATGATAATTCTGTAGTGTAGACATACTCTAAGAGTTACACAATTGTCTTCATACTTGTAGTCTGACATCTCCAGAACACCTTGTCAGAATTTGTACCGTGTAACTTGCAATTACTGTTATTTACTTCATATATAATCTATTGGTGAGGATGGTTTCAGATTGCTTTATAGTAGAAGAGTTTTGTATGGAATATTCTCAAATGCCATTACATGTCTGTAATGAAGCATTGTTTTAACAAACACTTTGCATAGCTTTGTGACCCAATATACAAATACATATATTTATTTCGAATAGCATATGCACTGACTAGGGAACTGACAGAAGATATTGCTCTTTTGCTTATCTACTCTTTGAATGTACATAATATATGCTTATTAACTAGTCCACAAATAAGTAATAAATCTACTTTGCATTTGTAAGTGCTGAATTTAATAGTTCTCATGGAAAAAACCCACAAGTGATTCTAATTCACTCTCTCTTATTCATGGTTCCAGCATAATGTATATCATGACAAATAGACTCTGATTTCCACTACTTTTCAGTGATCACCTCCACCACAAATCTGCAAGACATTATTACTGTCCTGTTGCATCAGAGTTGTAGTCATGGTATTTGACCGTGGCAGCAATTTTAGAATGTGAAGTTTTATCTGCAACCTAGAGAAAGATGGAATGCAAATTAATGGCTACCTGTCCTTAGCTCTTTCCGATGTTTGACAATTAATGTCCCTTCTGGCCCCATGTGATGCTCTCCTGCCATTAGTATAAACAAAATTTGTGATATATCCCATAATCTCACATTGGATGCCAATCACTAAAGAGTTCTGAGAAAAGGGTGATGCTAAATAAACATCTGGCTGCTTTTCAATATTTTCTATAATTGTTTAGCTCCATCCATGTGAAATCCAGGATCTACTTCAAACCCAAATACCCTTGCCCC